CACGGCTGGCTAGGGAATTCTGGGAGTGGAAGTCCACACATCTTAAAGTTGCTAAGGTTGAGAAACACTGTTTTAGAAGTTCAATCAAGTCCAAATCTAAGCCAATCCCTTAGGTCTGGTCTTCTGCCATTTAAAGGTGAGGCTGTATTCCACATGGAGTTCTGGTCTCTGGCAGCCCCGGACAGCTGTGCATCTTATAGTTGAATCCTGGGCTTTCTCCTCATAGTCTTCCAAGTTCTCCTGAGCTATCTCCAGCCCTTGCAAGCCACCTCCAGCCCTTGTGTGTCTCCACAGGTTTGAAGAGAAAGCCCAGACAGATCCCTTAAGTGCCCTGAAATACTTGCAGAACGACTTGTTTGTCACTGTGGATCACTCAGATCCTGAGGAAACGAAGGAGGTAAGTGGTGACGTCACTGCCTTTTCCCATTCTCGTGGAAAGAGCCACCCAACTGCCGCCGGAATTGGCACTTCGGAAGCAGCTGGATGGCAAAGCTGTGGATGCTCGGTGTGGGGCAGTAGTGGGAATGCGTGTGTATGCACCCGCATGTGTGTGCAGGGGAGATAAAGTCATCGTTTAAAAAATGGTTGGATATCACTTGGCTTCCTGGCATTTCTTTTCATTCCGGTCCAGATTTTTTTTTGGTCAACGTTACCATCTTTACTCTTCCTTTTCATCTTTCATTGTATTTTGTTTTCCTTGTTCCTAACGTAACCATCCAAAGTCTTTGGGCGTTGAGTGGCATGTAAATTTAAACAACAACAATAATAATTTTGTTCTTATAATTGCTTTATGGGTTCAGTGGTTAACCATGGGAGCTCGTCTGCTGATGGCATTGTTACCTCTTTTTAAGGTTTCATTTGGATGGCCTGATTACTGTTCTTGCCGTTAGCATCAGAACATATATTGATGAAGGGGAACTGATGGGGTTTTGCAGTTGGCCCAGGTTGACATTTGTCAATTGCACAGTGCATTCCAGTCATTACTGGATTCACCCACCTTACGACAGCCTGTGACCTTCCTCCTCCTTTTGCCTTCCTGTTTTACAAATTCTCAGGTGGTTCTCTGATTCCCTGGCTGTCCTTGCTGTGTTAACCCAAATCCACATCCTTAGGGGAAGAATGTTGAGCCCAGTGGACCTCCCACACATAGCCTGAAGTGGAAAGTTTCTTGTAATGTCGCTTAATGTTCGTGTAATGTTGCTTAAGTATATCAGAGATTGAAGGGAAACTTTCCTTGACCCAGTGTTTGCATTTCTCCTGGCAGATGTATTTGCAAACAGCTACAATTCTTGTAGGAAGACTTGACATTTTATATGTAACAATAATACGTGTGCACATAGAATAGAGAGATGCACACCCACCCCCTCTCGTGATGCAGTGTGTAGAAACAGTTTCCGGTAGCCATTTGGGGGTTATAATAGAACAGACTGTGCGTTGCGGAGAGATCGGCTTTATTAGCCCAACAATTAACGCGAAGAACATGAAGAGTATCTCAGAGATAGGGGAAGGGGGATTTTTTAAATCACTGAATTAGGGCTTCCCCATCCTAGGTAATGCTTGCAGTCCACTGTAGCCCCTCTGGGCTGATGGTTAGTATTGTTCTTCACACTCCTCATGTCTCTGCTGACTTTCAAAACGAATAAATGAAGCCCAGGATCCAGGGGTTCACCTGAGGAATTTTTTAATTAATTAATTAATTAATTAATTAATTTATATATCAAATTTGTATCACCGCCCAACTCCCCCACAAGGAGGGAC